CCTAGAGGACTAAGTGTGCCTGATCTAAGCCATGATATTTTCAATTGCTTCATCTGCATGGGAAAACTGGACAATGAATAAGGAAGACAGAAGCAGAACTGATGTACTTGAGTTATGGTACTGACAAAAAAAAAAAAGAAGAGAAAAGGAAAGAGTGAGGAAGGGAAGTAATACATCAACCTCTACTATGTGTCAGGAGATATTAGATGCTTGACATATATAGGGAGAGTGGAGCAATAAAGTGGTTAAAATGTGTTTTAGTATTTTGTAAGTATGAAATGTATTCTGCCTCCTAGGCTTTTTAGCTCTCTCTACTGACTCCACGGCACATAACCACCACCACCTCCTAATCTTAGAAGTCCTGGTGTGGCGCTGTGGGTTAATGTGCCAGACTGTAAATCCATTTGAACTGAAAAGTTGGTGGGTTAAGCTCACCAGCTGCTCCTCGGAAACCCTATATAGAGTTGCTACTGGGTTGGAACCAAGTCAAGAGCACTTCACAACACCACCATTTATCTATGAGATGGCATTTGTAGACTTGCCTTATATGACTATTAGGAGCTTTCAGTGAGCTAACCTAAACAAAGCTTATGATGCTTAGCAATCACTCAGCTAATGCTAGTAAATGTTGCTATTTCCTTCATTACTTTTCACAAGGAGGTAGGAGCATCATGAGGAAACAGATTCAGAGAGGTGATTCCTTGGCTCTAAGTCACAGAGCTGGTAAGTAGCAAAGCTTTAAGGAGGAAAATAACATACCCAAGTTTTTATTTGTTTGTTGGTCTTGAGAGGGTGGTGCAGGGATGTAAATTCCTAGTAACAATTTCTAATTATCAAACTTCAAGGTTCGTCTTAGAAAGCTTGCCTTTCTTGATGAAGAATACTGAATATATCATGGACTGCCAGGAAAACAAACAAATCTGTCTTAGAAGTACAGCTGGAATGCTACTTAGAAGGAAGGATGGTAAGACGTCATCTCAGATACTTTAGACACATTCTCAGGAGAGATCAGACCCTGGAAAAGGGCATCATGCTTGGTCGATAAATGGTGTTGTTAAGTGCTGTGGAGCCAGTTCCGACTCATAGCGACCCTGTACAGAGGTTCTAAGGAGCAGCAGGCTGCCGATCTTGTGGTTCAAACCATCCAGTGCTTATCCTACAGCACCACACCAAGAAGAAGAACTTTATGAGATGGAATGACACAGTGGGTACAACAATGGGCTCAAATATAAAAAGAATTATGAGGATGGCATAGGACCAGGCAGTGTTTCATCCTGTTGCACACAGGGTTACTATGAGTCAGAACTGACTTAACAATACACACAAACAGAGAATTGAAAGTTTGTTGAAATACTATTAATATCTTATACAGTTTCATTCCTGCAAGGATATCATACTATTTCATCTATTTTCCCTTCAAATCCCACCAAATCTCTGTACATCATTATGTATCATTTCACCCATTTCACAAAAGAGGAAGTGGAAAGCAGCAAGCTGCTACGGTGATGTGCCTAAAGTCATATAGAAGTCAATGCCAAAACCAAATAAGAACCTTAGTCCCCTTACTTCTAAATCAACCTTTATCCTCTCACATGACACAGCCTCCATAATAAAGAACAGATCATTCATTTTTTATCTGGAAAACTACCAAATGTATAATTCAGTAAGGGCCTCATGACCCCACCACCTTGTCAAAGAGAAGAAAGTACATAAAAAATGAGGTTTGCAGGAGCAGACGGTTTGGGTCTGTCAACTTTCTCTTGGCTTACGCCCATTAACCAACATAAAATAATGTAAAATATAATGTAACAGATCCCCACAGCCTTGGAAATTCAAGTTAAACTCACTGATCCTTCAAAATGCACTTAAATACAATGCACCAAAGGCGACTGTTAACTCCTGTGGGTCTGCAGAAGTCAATTAGATCTTTGAAAGAAAAGTAAGATACACAATCAGGCTGCTCTAAGAGGAATCCAAGTCAGCAGTGAGCAATGAGCTACACAAGCTCAAAGCACCCCAGAACCTTGGAACTCCAGAAAAGATCTGACAGTAAGAACAAAGCCTTCATCTGGTATATGAAGAAACCAAGGTTCAGGGAAGTTAAGTGGCTTGTCCACAGTTTCACAAAGTTTTCAGGAGCGCAAGAACTAGAAAATGAACCTGTTAACTCCTATACAAGGCGCCCTGGTGTATAAGCACTGGACTACTAATTGCAAGCTCGGCAGTTCAAACCTACCATCTGCTTTGTAGGAGAAAGCTGAGGCTGTCTGCGCTGGGAAAAATTTACAGTCTCAGAGGTCTTCTACAGGGTGACTCAATGGCTGTGGGTCTGGGGAGTAACTACTATACAGGAGTCCCAGGGTGGCACAGATGGAGTCGTGGTGTGGTGCTGTAGAATAAGCACTAGATCACAAGGACAGTTTGAACCTCAAGGTCAGTGGTTCTAACTTACCAGCCATTCCTCAGAAACCATATACAGGGTCACGATGGGTCAGAAGTGACTCGACACACTTAATAACAACAACAATTATACAGGAGTCCCAGGGTGGCACAAATGGTTAAGCATTAGCTATTGACCAAAAGGTTCAAACCCATCCAGAAGCAACTGGAAGTGAATCCTGGCAATCTGCTTCTGAAACATCACAGCCTTGAAAGCTTTATGGAGCAGCACGACTCTGCATACAAAGGGTCATCAGAAGTGGGAGGACAATTAACAACAACTATACATTCCATTTGCAAATTTTGCTTCTGACATCTATCAGAACATTTAGAAATTTCCATTTAACCATCAATACAGAGCCTGTAGTATGGTAACAGAAAAATTCAGAATTCAAATCCTGACTCTGCTACTACCATGTGATCAAGTCTCTTAATTTCTCTGAACTTGAGTTTTTTTCATCTGTGAACTGTGGGTAACAGTTCTATAGCAGAGGTAGAACTGGAGGTACCATACACAAACAGCCAGTGTGTTCCAGAAAGGCTAGGACCATGGCTATACATCCCCAGCACTGAGCAGAGTTTGGCACATGATGCATCATCAGAAAATTTGCTGAACAAATCAATGAACTTATCAAGCAAACAGTACTAGACTTGAACCTGGGTGTACCAGGAAAACACTAAGATATATTACTCCCAATTCGCATGATCTTAAAGCAGTAGAAAGTAGTGAGAACACAATGGAACAGTACAGCCATTTTTTTTGGCCATAAGGTATAAAACATTCAGTGGAAAAGTCCCTGGATTCTTAATGTCAGGATTAACTTTGTTGCTAGCATGGGTACATCATGGGACTTAGGAATCAACTAAACTTGGGTTTAGTCCCAGCTTCAGCACACGCTGTGTGACCACAGTAATAGTACTTTGTATCTTTGAGTCTAAATTTCTGTACTTAAAAAAAAAACTCCTTCACAGGGATTATGTGATAAATGAGACAATATAAGAAAAGGAATACATGATGATATGTGGCACAAAAAGACACTCAACTATTGTTACACAACATTTCCCTTTTTAGCTACTTGAAAGCTCATTCATTTGACTTAGGTCTCTGCTCAAATGTCACTTCCTTCCTGAACCTCCCTATCTACATTAACACCCTAACACTCTCTACCCCTTATCCTGCTTATTTCTCTTCTTACTTCTTATTACCATACGACATGACACTATTCTCGCATTCATTTCCTTTTCTGTTGACTGTGCTTCTACACTTAGCATGTAAGCCCTATGAAGACAGGCACTTTTTGTCATGTGTTTTGTTTTACTGTTACATCTCAACAATTAGGGAGTGCCTGGAAAATTGTTGTTGTTGTTATGTGCCATCGAGTCGGTTCCGACCCATAGCGACCCTGTATAGGGTTTCCGAGGGTGTAAATCTTTACGGGAGTAGAAAGCCTCATCTTTCTCCCGCGGAGCGGCTGGTAGTTAGTGAGTGCTTAAACAAATATTTTTCAAATGACTGAATGCATTTAATTCAACACTTACATGTTCTTAGGACTTGAGACACTGTAAGAAAAATGACTTAGAGGTAATTAAGAAATGATCCCCTATCCTCAAAGAGCTTCCAATCTAGAAAATTTTAAAGGGTACATAAAAGATAATCATATTAACAGTAAATAAATTCTACAGCTTTCCAAAATCCAAAGTGCTATGGGATTACAAAAGGAGAAATTAATTCAGTCTGCTATGGAATCTGAGAAAATTTACATATCACCTGGAATACTGCAGCTGCCTCTCAAATGTTCTCTCTGCGCCCACTTTGTCCCCTACATTCCATTCATTAATCAGCAGCCAGACAGAACCCCACTCCCCCTGCTTAAATCCCTCCAATGGTATCCCTTTACATTTTGAACAAAATCCAAACTCCTAACGGCCTGTAAAGCTCAAAGTATCAGCTCTGTTGACTCATCCAACCTCCATATCTGTGCATGCTACATATATGTATCTGTATGGTATGACACACAATTTCAGTAGTTCACATGTAGTAAAAACTTTCTCACCCTCACTAGCCTTTTTCTTGTTCAAAGATACCAAGGTCCATTCCAACTCAGGGTCTTTGTGTTTGCTATTCACTCTGCCTGGAAAGCTCTTCTCCTAGTCTGGCTCTTCATCTTTTAGCTGTCAGCGCAAATGGTATCTCCTTACAGAGTCCTCCCAGGCTGAAACTGCTACTTCCACCATTACCTCCTTCAAGTCACTCTCTAGTGCATCTTCTTACGTTTGACTTCTTCAGAGCACTTCATTATCTGGAATGACTGTATCTATTTATCTGTCCTATCTTCTCAACCAGACTGCAAACTATATGAGGACAAAGACTCTGTCAGCACCTTCCACATAGTAAGTATTCAATGAATTAATAAAGTGCATCTCAAAAGATATGGAAGTTTTGCAGGATGAAAGGTACAGGTAAAGTATACTACTGGTCTAACAGTATCAAGGAGTGTTGGTATTCTTCCAAGGGCAACCGCTCCATTTAATCGAAACCTATCAATTTCAGCCAAACTTACTTGGGTATGGGCACCCGAATTAGCGTCCCTTCCACTTCTGGGTTCAGATTCATTCCACTTTCTCTTATAGCCTTGATAGCTGCAGCTGTACACTGAAAACCAGATCAAAAGGTAAACAGAATTAGTAAATAATTATTACCAGATGCAAGCCCTCTGTCGATAACTGGCAACCCATCTTGGCAGAACATGGAAACATTTAGTTCTGTTACCAGTAAGATCAGGAAGTTACATTGGTGTAGAGTGCTTTGATCAAGCTGAATAGCAAACTATGTCCACTCCTGGTACCAGTGTACTGCGGGAGGAAAAAAAGCAAAAAGAAGAAAAAAGAAAAAGAAAACAGCTCTGCTCCTTTGAAAAGATTTCAATGGTTTGAGGCAACGCAGATCAAAACCACAATAAATCCTCAAGGGAAAGGAGCTGTTCTGTGCAAAGATTGGTATAAAGACAGATGAAAGATTTTATACGTTAAAAATTCCAGTTGACGTTTTACACTCAAAATATACCAGTACCGATATGGAATGAGTAAATAAATTTAACTCATTCGCATCTACACTCACCAAACTCACTCATGTTTTGGAATAAGCAGTAGATATCAAGTACCAGGAAAGGTGGCTTGCTATAGGAGTTAAAAGTACTGGCTCTGGAATCAGAGATCTCAGTTCAAATTCCAGCTCTGATAAACCATGTGACCCTAGGCAACAAGCTTCACTACTAGGAGTCTCCATTTAATCCACTCTGAGTGGATTAAAAAAGATAACATCTTGTTCTGAGTCTGGTACACAGTTACAATCAAGGGGAGGTACTCTACAAATACATGTTGTTGCTGTTGTTAAGTGCCGTTGAGTTGGTTTCAGCTCACAGTGACCTTGCATAGAGTTTCTGAGGCTTGCAATTTTTGTGGGACTAGAAAGCCTCATCTTTCTCCTGTGGAACATCTGGTGGGCTTGAACCACCAACCCTGCAGTTCACAGTCAAGTATTTATCCTACAGAGCTACTGGGATCCCCTATAAATGCACAGCATATATTATTAAGGAGTCCTGGTGACACTGGAGGTGAGCAGTTGAGCTGTTAACTGCAAGGTCGGTGGTTCAAATTCATCAGCTACTCCTCAGGAGAAAGATAAGGCTGTCTACTCCCATAATGATTTCTAGTCTTGGGAACCCTATAAATGGTCTCTATGAGTTGGAATGGGTTTTACATATTTATTATAAAAGGTAAGAATGTACAAAACAGCCAAATAAGGCTGAATCGATGTTATCATTTAACTGATGCACTGCTGCCCTGCCTAAAATCTTCAGGGGTTTCTCTAAACGTTTTACTAATGAGCCAAGTGATACACTGGGACACTGATTTCCCAAAGTGACTCCCCTCACATTCAAGCAAACATTGTATCCATACCTGGCATGCAATCTTAAAGGAAAACAAGAAAGCAGAGACACCTCCACTGGCATGACTATGTGGAATTCATGAAAACAAGGCTTGTAACATTTCCAAAAGAATTTTAGGTTTGACCAGAGCCAATCCACATCACTTAGAAAGAGCTCCATATTCACAGGACCAATTTTTGGGCTTGAGTTCTTCCGCAGCGTCTGGCTTAAATGAGTGGTGGTTGCTGCACACATACTTAACTTTTCCAATTTTTTTTTTTTTTTTAAGGGGGTGCATTTTCTTTAAAATGACCTTAATTCTGCATCTGTATGAGTTATTACTATTAGCCAAAAAGACAAGCTAGAACTTCCACATGTAGGTAAATTATTTCCCTGGAAGACTGCACACAGATCTAACAGTGTGGCCACTGCTTAAAATAGCAAATTCTTAAAATGGTACTACTGACTACAGACCATCAAAGCTACAAAACAATTTCCCATAGGCAAGTACTGCCTTTGATTATGTATCTGGGGACCTGTAGGATAAGGTCACAACCCTATAAGCACACAAGGTCTTCCCTGGAAGCCCAAGAGAAGTTGAGTGAAGATCCTACCCATTACTTGGAGTTACTGGCAGAATTAGGGGACTCTGGTTGGTGGTTATGTGCCGTGCAGTTAGTTCCGACTCATAGCGGCCCTGTACAGGGATTCCAAGGCTATAAATCTTTATGGGAGCAGAAAGCCTCATCTTTCTCCTGCGGAACAGCTGGTAGTTTCAAACTGCTGACCCTGAGGTTAGCAGCCCGATTAGTAACCACTACGCTACTCTATGCTCCCCCAAATCTGAGCCCGATGTCTATATTTTCTTCTAAATTCCCAACTTAATTTATTATAAAGATAATTTGGAATTAGGTCTCATATATAAAGGGTACATCAAAAAACTAAACCTGTTGTCACTGAGTCAGTTCTTACTCAGTGACCCTAAAGGATAGCGGAGCACTGCCCCATAAGGTTTCCAAGGCTATAAAGCTTTATGGAAGCAGACTGCCGCATCTTTCTCAGATGGAATGGCTAATGGGTTCAAATCACCAACTATTTGGTTGGTAGTGGAGTGCTTTAACCACAGCACCACCAGAGCTCCTATAAAGGGTATCCCACTGCTACTGAATCAATTCCAACTCATAGCGACCCTCTACAGGGTTGCTGAGGCTATAAATCTTTGCGGGAGCAGAAAGTTTTGTCTTTCTCTCATGCAGCAGCTGGTGGGTTTAAATTGCTGTATTTAGCTGTCCAGTGCTTATCCTACAGTGCCACCCAGGTTCATAAAGGGTATGGCCAAGTTAAATAAAAGAGTTGGATAGACATGAAATTAATTTTCTTCTGGAAGAGAAATGCCATCTTCCTTAATAATATGAAATTCAGATCTCTGAGGTTAGTAAGTACAATAGCTCCATACGATACGCACTGGACTATGAATCACAAGGCCCATGGTTTGAGTCTGTCAGCCAGTCTGCAGGAGAAAGATGAGGCTTTCTGTTCCATTGAGATTTAAAGCCTTAGAAACTTTTTACAGGATTGCTACTACAAGTCAGAAGTAACTTGAAAGCACTTAACAACAACATGGTCAACAATACAGGGAGAATCTCTACTTGAAGGATTGCCGGATCTTAAGTCTCTAAGTCCTTCTCTTCTGAAGTTCCCTCAGTGAATAACTGATTCCTCTTTGTTGCAACATCCCACCACCACCTCTCTTCACAGTCTGGCCCAAATGTTTTCATACAACTGGCACTTAACAATAACAACAACCACTATAGGCACTGGAGCAATGACTACTGACAACAAGCTAAAACATTTAAACTATATTTAGGACTCTGGGATGGCAAAAGGGAATCTAACACAAAGAGTAAAACAAAACTGGACAGACTGGATTCTATGACACAGCTTTCCCTATGGGGATTCTAACCTGCCTCCATGTGGTTAGTGAGCTACCCACCAGAAAATTCTATATACAAAGAAAATAAGATTGCCTCACCGAAGGAATGCTTACCACTATCCAAGGGCAAACAGGTTCCTCTCAAATGGCAATGCTGATCAACTGGTTGGGGCTGCTGGGAGTACCATGCCAGAAAGATCAAAACCCCCATCTGGGGTGAGGCAGGAAGTGCAGTGACCAGTTAGCAATATCTGTCATTACCATTCTCCAGCAAAGGGCAAAAGATGCTAAAACATTGTGGACAGGTCAGCAAATTCTTGAGAGAGTTTGGGATCAAGTCAACTTTGTTAGGGTCTTTTTAGGATTCGTGCTAACAGTTTTTAATTCATTTGTTTCTTATTTAAATTTTATTAATTTTGTTGTTGAGACTACACATAACAAATTATACACCAATTCAATCGTTTTTACATGTACAATTTAGTGATACTGATTACATACTTCGAGTTGTGCAGTCGTTCTCACTCTCCTCTTCAGAGCTGGTTCTCTTTCATTAATACAAACTCACTGCACCTCTAAGGTTCCTATCTAATCTTCTGATTTGCTATTGTCAGTTTGATCCCACATAGACAATTCTTAGAAGAGAATAATGCTAAAGGAGACCTCTTTTACTAGTTAAACTATTGTTCAGTTTTAAGAAGACATCAGAAGATATTCTTGGTTTAAGACTTACAGATCATTTCAGAGCAACAGAACATTATTTCAGAGGTTCATCAATCCTCCATGGCTCTACAAAGTCTAGGGTCCATGAGAATTTGAAATTCTGTTCTTCAAAATGTTCTCCTTTTGATCAGGAGTCCTCCATGGAATCTTTGAGCAATATATTCAGGGCTGGTAGCCAGGCACCATCCAGTTCTGGTCTCATCACAAAGGAGACAGTTATTCACAGGGCAATTAGCCACACATTCCAAATCCTCCTCCTATTCTTTACTCTCCTTCCACTTCTGTTGCTCCAGGTAACTAGAGACCAATTGTGCCTTGGATGGTCGCTTGCAAGTTTTCAAGACCCCATGTACTACACATCAAACTAAGAGGTAGAAGGGAGGCACTAAACACATGATTAGGTCAATAACTGGGATGTCCCTGAAACTTATGTTAAGTTTTTCAATCACCAGCCTTCCATTTCTTTGATGTTTCAGTAAGTCCCAGAATGTAACATCTTTAATAGCCATGCCTTGTCTGTCTTCATTAGCACTGATTTCCCAGCACCTCAAATAGAGCCGAATATATTGCAGGAACTAAAAAAAAATTTGTTGGATTACTGAAAGAATGGTAAAAGGCTTTAGTGTCAAGCAGACATATAGTCAAACGTTGGCTCTTTAACTTAAAAGAGTATAAAC